CACTGAATACACGTATCTTTTTTTCTATACATAATTTGGACTTGAGTCCTGAAGGAGAAATGTGTATTTATGATATAGGAACCTAATGCAACTCGAAAATCCAAATTTCGTTGTTGTATGCACAATCTAGGCCAATCTCCGTGACTCGGTTGATTTAGTAAACGCGAAAACACTGAATACACGTATCTTTTTTTCTATACATAATTTGGACTTGAGTCCTGAACGAGAAATGTGTATTTATGATATAGGAACCCAATGCAACTCGAAAATCCAAATTTCGTTGTCGTATGCACAATCTAGGCCAATCTCCGTGACTCTGTTAATTTAGTAAACGCGAAAACACTGAATACACGTATCTTTTTTTCCATACATAATTTGGACTTGAGTCCTGAAGGAGAAATGTGTATTTATGATATAGGAACCAAATGCAACTCGAAAATCCAAATTTCGTTGTCGTATGCACAATCTAGGCCAATCTCCGTGACTCGGTTGATTTAGTAAACGCGAAAACACTGAATACACGTATCTTTTTTTCTATACATAATTTGGACTTGAGTCCTGAAGGAGAAATGTGTATTTATGATATAGGAACCCAATGCAACTCGAAAATCCAAATTTCGTTGTCGTATGCACAATCTAGGCCAATCTCCGTGACTCGGTTGATTTAGTAAACGCGAAAACACTGAATACACGTATCTTTTTTTCTATACATAATTTGGACTTGAGTCCTGAAGGAGAAATGTGTATTTATGATATAGGAACCCAATGCAACTCGAAAATCAAAATTTCGTTGTCGTATGCACAATCTAGGCCAATCTCCGTGACTCTGTTGATTTAGTAAACGCGAAAACACTGAATACACGTATCTTTTTTTCCATACATAATTTGGACTTGAGTCCTGAAGGAGAAATGTGTATTTATGATATAGGAACCAAATGCAACTCGAAAATCCAAATTTCGTTGTCGTATGCACAATCTAGGCCAATCTCCGTGACTCGGTTGATTTAGTAAACGCGAAAACACTGAATACACGTATCTTTTTTGCTATACATAATTTGGACTTGAGTCCTGAAGGGGAAATGTGTATTTATGATATAGGAACCCAATGCAACTCGAAAATCCAAATTTCGTTGTCGTATGCACAATCTAGGCCAATCTCCGTGACTCGGTTAATTTAGTAAACGCGAAAACACTGAATACACGTATCTTTTTTTCTATACATAATTTGGACTTGAGTCCTGAAGGAGAAATGTGTATTTATGATATAGGAACCTAATGCAACTCGAAAATCCAAATTTCGTTGTTGTATGCACAATCTAGGCCAATCTCCGTGACTCGGTTGATTTAGTAAACGCGAAAACACTGAATACACGTATCTTTTTTTCTATACATAATTTGGACTTGAGTCCTGAACGAGAAATGTGTATTTATGATATAGGAACCCAATGCAACTCGAAAATCCAAATTTCGTTGTCGTATGCACAATCTAGGCCAATCTCCGTGACTCTGTTAATTTAGTAAACGCGAAAACACTGAATACACGTATCTTTTTTTCCATACATAATTTGGACTTGAGTCCTGAAGGAGAAATGTGTATTTATGATATAGGAACCAAATGCAACTCGAAAATCCAAATTTCGTTGTCGTATGCACAATCTAGGCCAATCTCCGTGACTCGGTTGATTTAGTAAACGCGAAAACACTGAATACACGTATCTTTTTTGCTATACATAATTTGGACTTGAGTCCTGAAGGAGAAATGTGTATTTATGATATAGGAACCCAATGCAACTCGAAAATCCAAATTTCGTTGTCGTATGCACAATCTAGGCCAATCTCCGTGACTCTGTTGATTTAGTAAACGCGAAAACACTGAATACACGTATCTTTTTTTCTATATATAATTTGGACTTGAGTCGTGAAGGAGAAATGTGTATTTATGATATAGGAACCCAATGCAACTCGAAAATCCAAATTTCGTTGTCATAATGCACAATCTAGGCCAATCTCCGTGACTCGGTTAATTTAGTAAACGCGAAAACACTGAATACACGTATCTTTTTTTCTATACATAATTTGGACTTGAGTCCTGAAGGAGAAATGTGTATTTATGATATAGGAACCTAATGCAACTCGAAAATCCAAATTTCGTTGTCGTATGCACAATCTAGGCCAATCTCCGTGACTCTGTTGATTTAGTAAACGCGAAAACACTGAATACACGTATCTTTTTTTCTATATATAATTTGGACTTGAGTCCTGAAGGAGAAATGTGTATTTATGATATAGGAACCCAATGCAACTCGAAAATCCAAATTTCGTTGTCATAATGCACAATCTAGGCCAATCTCCGTGACTCGGTTAATTTAGTAAACGCGAAAACACTGAATACACGTATCTTTTTTTCTATACATAATTTGGACTTGAGTCCTGAAGGAGAAATGTGTATTTATGATATAGGAACCTAATGCAACTCGAAAATCCAAATTTCGTTGTTGTATGCACAATCTAGGCCAATCTCCGTGACTCGGTTGATTTAGTAAACGCGAAAACACTGAATACACGTATCTTTTTTTCTATACATAATTTGGACTTGAGTCCTGAACGAGAAATGTGTATTTATGATATAGGAACCCAATGCAACTCGAAAATCCAAATTTCGTTGTCGTATGCACAATCTAGGCCAATCTCCGTGACTCGGTTGATTTAGTAAACGCGAAAACACTGAATACACGTATCTTTTTTTCTATACATAATTTGGACTTGAGTCCTGAAGGAGAAATGTGTATTTATGATATAGGAACCCAATGCAACTCGAAAATCCAAATTTCGTTGTCGTATGCACAATCTAGGCCAATCTCCGTGACTCGGTTGATTTAGTAAACGCGAAAACACTGAATACACGTATCTTTTTTTCTATACATAATTTAGACTTGAGTCCTGAAGGAGAAATGTGTATTTATGATATAGGAACCCAATGCAACTCGAAAATCCAAATTTCGTTGTCGTATGCACAATCTAGGCCAATCTCCGTGACTCTGTTGATTTAGTAAACGCGAAAACACTGAATACACGTATCTTTTTTTCTATATATAATTTGGACTTGAGTCCTGAAGGAGAAATGTGTATTTATGATATAGGAACCCAATGCAACTCGAAAATCCAAATTTCGTTGTCATAATGCACAATCTAGGCCAATCTCCGTGACTCGGTTAATTTAGTAAACGTGAAAACACTGAATACACGTATCTTTTTTTCTATACATAATTTGGACTTGAGTCCTGAAAGAGAAATGTGTATTTAACATATAGGAACCCAATGCAACTCGAAAATCCAAATTTCGTTGTCATATGCACAATCTAGGCCAATCTCCGTGACTCGGTTGATTTAGTAAACGCGAAAACACTGAATACACGTATCTTTTTTTTTATACATAATTTGGACTTGAGTCCTGAAGGAGAAATGTGTATTTATGATATAGGAACCCAATGCAACTCGAAAATCCAAATTTCGTTGTCGTATGCACAATCTAGGCCAATCTCCGTGACTCGGTTGATTTAGTAAACGCGAAAACACTGAATACACGTATCTTTTTTTCTATACATAATTTGGACTTGAGTCCTGAAGGAGAAATGTGTATTTATGATATAGAAACCCAATGCAACTCGAAAATCCAAAGTGCGGTTGAAATTACTTTTATGATTAAATTGACACATATTAGTAAGAGTCAGCTATTTTAGCCTTTTCATATGACTTTTTCTTTATACTACTACATCCGCCCCTTACAATTGAGATAAGAGGTAGTAGTGCGGTTACTAAGAAAAGTGAGATTGTGCGATTAGAATTAAATTGGTAAAGGGTGAATAAAATAAGAAGATATTGTAATCGCCCAAATATTAACAAATATGATATGCGACAAACTTAATGAAACAGACGAAAAATGTAAAATGAGACAAAGTTAGAGGACAGGGAACATTAATAAAAATATATTTTAAATTTAATTTCTTTGTAATTCAATAAATTCAATTAATTGTGTAACACCGGACCCGAATTTTACCCAGATAAAATTTTTTCGTAAAGTACTTGGTTAAAGAAGGTAAATCAAGACTAAGAGTAGTCTCGATAAATGAGAAAGTAAAATTTTGTCCTAAATTAATAAAGGGTTATTAATTTAGACGTGGGGACCACTCATGATATTTCGAGTTTATAAAATATTAATGTTTATCAAAATGATACTATTATGATAGTATGGATGGTTCCTGGACCCCGGTAATATAAAGAATGACAACTAGACGGCCAAGCGAGCCGGTGTCACTATTCAATAATTGTGAGTCTTTAATTATCGGACTGATAATAATTGGGAAGGCTACGAATTAATAACAGAAGGAATATAAATATTTTAAGAACCCAAAACATGGGATGATGGGTAATAATGAGCAACTTGACATGTTAGAGGTGGGTACTTTTGGAGGACCCTACCTTGGAGATATTTTGTATGAGAATAAACAGATAAGATTTTATTTGTTCATACAGTTCGGACCACTTAAAAATAAGTGTAACATTTTATTAAAGTGTCACCAAATATGAAACCACATATTATATTCATCTTGGTTTAGATAATATTTATATGATGGTGTAAATTAATGTTGAGCCATAAAGTTGGCCTTTCGATCAAACAAGGTCCCATTATCGGTATAGCTAATTAATCAGATAACAGCCCGAAATAAATTCCGGGGACCACTAAATTGAAGTTGGGTAATATATATTCATTTTAGAGTCCAATATTAATTGGAAGAATGATATATATTTTACTTGACCCGATAAAATAAAATTTAATTAAAACAGTCCGGAAAATACAACTTTCGGGACCAATTGTACACTTCGGGACTTATTGGGATGACCTCCCACATGAGTGGGGGCCAACCCACGTTTTTTTTAGCTCAAAATGGACCAAGGGGGCTGCACATTATGCTTGGAGGTGAGATGAGGTGAAAGAATTGGAATCAAATAAGTGTGGGCCTCACTCCCACATTTATTTGCTAATGAGACCAAGGTGGAGCCTTCCTACCCTCTTCCCTCCCATCTACTTCGATTAATTCACTCAAGAAGGAGAGGCTAACCTCTGCAAATCATCATCATCCATTGTTGAGTTAAGCTCAATCAAGTTGAATGCTCAAGAAAGAAGAAAAAGCGGAAAAATGAAGAAAACCTTGATTAATTAAGGTAATCATCTCATTAATATTTTTCATCCTTCATTTAATCTCATATGATTTTATAAATCATATGATAGACTCTTAATCTTGTTCTACACTTTAAGAGGTGTAGAATGATGGTTTGGAAGGTTAAGTTTAACCACGAACGGAGTTATGACCGGAGTAAGACCGGTTCACCGGAAAACACCTTCTCGGAAGGTTTTGACGTTTATACCACTTTTGGTTGTCAAACCTTGTTAGGAATTTTACCAATGTATTCTATACTTCTCAAGGAATCTAGGAGTGGCCGGAAAGTCGCCGGAGCCACTGGAGTTTTTGCCGGAAAATTCAAAGGTCGCCGGAGTTCAAACAAAGAGGATAAAAGCTCGTTAGCGTCATTTCAAGGTGAGTGGACGACTACGTGTCTTGTAACTCTTGGTTCGAAACGTGAGGTTACCTAAATAAAATCATAACCATGATTTGAGAAATGATTAAATGTATTAAAATGCATGATTAGTCATGGTGAGTATGGCTAATGAAAAAAATAGATTAATTTATTAATTAATCATGAATATATTTTTCTCAAATATATAAGAAGGTATATTTGGACCATGCATGAAACTAACTAGAGTAATGTAGTACATGAATATATGAAAAGATATGTGAACTTGTGATTATCCATATTAATTATGAATTATGGAAATATTACATGATTAATGAATAAGAGATTTATTTGTGGATTAATCATGAATATATTATTGTCAAATGTATAAAAAAATGCATACATGGACTATGTATGAGATGACTAGAGTAATCTAGCATGTGAATATGTATAGAAATGTTTAAAAGTGTTAAACGTGATTAGCTATAATGAGCATAAGTTATGTGAAAATGGCATGATTAATGAGTAAAAGAATTATTAATATTTTGATGAACGATAATCATGGATGATTTGGTTAAGGTAATTCAAGATGGTATTCTTGAAGGATTTAAGTACATAATCATATGTGTCATTAAATTAAATCTAGTTTGAAGAATAAACTAGAATGAAATATATAAATGATTAATAAGTATGAAGTACTTATTAATAGTTATGAGAAGACGGCTATATGCTTTATAACTTTTGATTGAGGCATGAGATTACCTAAAGTAATCAAGTATATATTTTATGGAATGACTAAAGTTAATCAAGTATTGGCTTATGCCATGGTTGTATATAAAACATAGTTGAAAGGCATGTTTTGTATGTTTGATGATTAAAAATGTGATAACTTATTATGTACAATGCTCCAAGGATCCAAATTGGTATTTTTGGATCAAGGACGTCAAGGAGTACATGCGTATAAAATTTCGCGTTAATCGGACTCCGTTTGAGCGGTCAAACGGGCGTTGACCGCCGAGGCAAAGGTGATACCCGACCGGGTATGGGTACATACCCGACCGGGTATTGATTAAAATGGCTCCAGAAGCCACTGTCTTACTAGACCCGACCGGGTAAGGGTATGGACCCGACCGGGTCTCAAGTAAAATCAGTTCCAGGGGCTTCTGCCCCGACCTACCCGACCGGGTGAGATTGGATACCCGACCGGGTATTGGACTAGGCCCAAAACAGGCAGTTTTGAGCAGGTTAACGTGGGTCGTTCGGGTGGGACCCGTCCACATTGGTTGCTAAGGCTTCAAATACGGTTTAAACGCTAAGACTTGGACTAGTTGTTAGCAAAGAAATTATAGACCACGACCGGGCGAGGTACGTGGTAGATTATACATGGCGGGTGAATACCCGGGACCGAGTAAGGTTGGGTAAAACTCTGTAGGACCAGGAGGAGTCCTTTATACTCAAATGTTAACAAGGGCCCGTGTAGTCCTTGAGGTGTGTTAACCTCCAGCAAATTACACATAGGTAACAAGGGCAAATGCAGTCCTTGAGGTGTGTTAACCTCCATCAAATTGCATATAGGTAACAAGGGCCCGTGTAGTCCTTGAGGTGTGTTAACCTCCAGCAAATTACACATAGGTAACAAGGGCAAATGCAGTCCTTGAGGTGTGTTAACCTCCATCAAATTGCATATAGGTAACAAGGGCCCGTGTAGTCCTTGAGGTGTGTTAACCTCCAGCAAATTACACATAGGTAACAAGGGCAAATGCAGTCCTTGAGGTGTGTTAACCTCCATCAAATTGCATATAGGTAACAAGGGCCCGTGTAGTCCTTGAGGTGTGTTAACCTCCAGCAAATTACACATAGGTAACAAGGGCAAGTGCAGTCCTTGAGGTGTGGTATCCTCCATCAAATTGCACATAGGTAACAAGGGCCCGTGTAGTCCTTGAGGTGTGTTAACCTCCAGCAAATTACACGTAGGATGAGGGTGTATGCGTACTCCTCAAGGCGGGGTTAGCCCCGGGAATGTAAACTATGATTGTAAGGACGGTTAGTCCTCGAGGTAGGTGAACCTCAAGGTAATGATTTTAAATGATTAAACGTGCTTGATCGGGAATGAGTTTCCGATAGGATATTTTCCTTGGTCTAGGAATTGATTTAAACCATGTCCGTGATATGGGAGTCCGAAGGGCCCCCACAGTAATTATATTTTGATATCGTGTGAGTCAGCCTGCGGGTGACTCCACTCGAGGGTAAGACATGGGAAGTGTGACACCGCACCCGGATGGGCTTGAATTCAAAATTTGATATGTAATTGAAGTTCCTAGCGAATAAAATCGTGTAACGGAGTGGTATATTTAATTAATGCGTGATTAATTAAATTATTTATCGGGTCCCTAATAATGGAAATGGACTCCCAAATATTTAGATGGGCCATGGAAAGGGCATGGAGTTGACCTGTTGGTCAAACGAGGCCCAATTACCGGTATTGGTAATTTATAGAATGATAGCCCGAAATGAATTTCGGAGACTACTAAATAAATGTTGGGGAATATACATCTATTCTAAAGGCCCATAATTATTAGGAACGCGTGGTATATTTTATTTGGCCCGATAAAATAAAATATAGTTAAAACAGTCCGAGAAATACAACTTTCGGGGCCGGTTGTACACACCGGGGCGAAATGGGATGACCTCCCACATGAGTGGGGGCCACCCCACGTTTTTGTGTACTCTAATTGACAAAATGGGAGCTGGAGAAGACATGAAGGTGTGTGGTGCGGACTAGAGGAAGAGGGGATGGATTGAGACAAACCCACACCCCCCATGTCCTATCTTACACATTATCATGTGTGATTGAGAAGGACTCCCCCCTACCACCTCATTTCACTCGGCCAGAACAAGGGAAGAGATCTCAAGAAAACCCAAAGTCCTCCAAGTCTCATTCAAGGGAGAAGGAGCTGGGAAAATCCACAAGAAGTAGTTGAGTTCAAGGTAAGAACTCCAAAACTATGGTTTAACTAGTTTTATAGTGTATGATTTTTAGGAAATCATACGATGAATTAAACATGAAGTTCTACACGTTTAAAAGTGTATAATATTGTTATAAAGTGGTGGTATTTAACTTAGAAGAGTCGTGGAATCGATAGGAGTTGAAACCACCGGAAACCGCCAAGGAGAAGAAGCTGTTCGTAGTTGCAGACTACGAAAGCCGCCCGGCTTTGGGTGAAAGCCGCCCGGCTTTTGGGCTACTGTCCAGGAATTTTGCTTTTGATCGGTTTAGAACGGGGATCGATCGAAGGGCTTATCAAAGGCAACTAATCCAGCACTTCATAAGGTGAGGATGGCTGACTATGTTGTTTATAATCTTTGGGTTAATTTCGTAAGATTACCTAAAGTAATTAAATGTTATTTTCATGGATTATTAATGATTAATAATGCCTAAATGAAAATATTGTTGTCAATGAATAAAGGAGCATAATATACAAATTTAAGGATAAATTGTGTATGACTATGTAATATGAGTATATTGACTTGATGAAGGGATTAACTATGAATATTATGTTGAAATATAATTTTAACTTCATATAAGGATATATGAGTGATTAAAGATTATATTTTGTATATTGATATGAACTATATTTTCAATGGAAAATTAGTTTGAGAATTGTCTATATGACTATGAACTGAAATGAGATTTTGTTGGAATTTATCCGACTAGTATAATGATACTAGTCGGGGGTTTTGGAATGAAATATGTTAGAATTGATCCAAGGTTTGGATTGTAAATTGTTGAGCCTTAAGTAGTCTTAAGAGATACTAAGGTGGATAAGTGATGCTAGGGGTAGGCCTTAAGGGATACCCAAGATAAAGTGAATAATAAATTGATCCTAGGTATAGGATTGGCCTACGGGTGTATTCGGTAGTCTTTAAGGATTAGCCGATAGAGTATTGGTAATTAGTAAGGACCATGGCCCTTCCCGACTCTAGAGAGCGGGGTTGGATAGCATGGACTTACATCGTGATCACGGGTTAGGGTGGAATCCGAACCGGAGACCTTACGAGGCTCCCGACAGCGGTAACACATAAGATAGGACCCCGAATGGACCTTACCTTCCTACGGGACGATGGGTATGAGTTCAGGGGCGGGATGTTGGACTCCGGCCCGGGGACCCGGTGAGGCCTCGGAGAGCGGTGACAAGTCTCGTAAAGGATGATAAGACCTACGGGCGGTGTCGTGCTAACGACGGGTATAATGAAATATACGAAAGGGGCCGTGTGCCGACAAATAAATAAATTTACTTATTATAGAGATAATAAGGGGGAAATATAAATTATTATTTATACTATGATATCACCCTATTTTGAGGGTCTTAGAAATTGAAACATTGATTATACTTGGTATAGTTGTCATTGTACTTGTCAAATGCTTCCAAGTACTGACCTCCCCTTCACGGGGGAGGCCACCTCACAGTTTCAGGTAGGGAGTAAAGCTTGCTACCATCGCCCGTTGCTTCGGGGAGCTCAGGGAGAGAAGACGTGGTTCGTGCTTCCTCCGTTCTATTTTTAAAACATTAAATTAATGCTCATGGATATTATTTTGATTAATTATTTGGGGCTTGTATGCCCATGTTGCCGAAGTGTGGCATAAACACTTGTATTAAACGTTTCCGCTGATTTAAATGATTATTTTACATTATGGTTGTTTATGGATGTACTATTGTGAATGATATTCAAGACGCCTAGTATAGTATGGATGAGTTGGACTGCGGTTGACTATTCGTACTGTACGGCGGGTTGTTGACGTGTCCGGTAGGTCCGGGGCGTGACAATTAAGTTGGTATCAGAGCCTTAGTCCGTAAACTTCATAATGAAGCTTCAAAATTCTTTTGAAAATGATTTTGAAAACCATGAGCATAAAGTTTTGTACTTATAGAACTTTTGGTACTTGAGTTGCAAGGTCTCTAATTGTTAAGATGGTACCCTTAACAATTGGTATGGCGGTGATTTGAGCCAAAAGATGTCTTTA